AGCGGAATCAACCCTTTATAGGCAATATCGTTGCACCAACAGAAACATTAAAACAAACTCCCGATGCACAGAATACTTGAGTAGTTATTTTTAAGTTTAGTTTTTTTACAGATTACTGGGATGGTTTTCAGCCGAAAACTACTAGGCCACCACTTGAACCTAAAGTGGGTAATTTCTTCGATTACAATGCATGCTTGGAGATTTGGGATTCGGCGCACTAATTAACTACAGTGGTCGTAGTCTGCAGTGTAAATCTACACTTAATTAAGTTGCTATTTTCTCTGACTTTAGTCTAACCCGATCGGTGCATTCCATCACTCTGGGGATCGCGGTTCGCTACGAAAAAATGCACAAAATAGCGTTCTGTCTCGAACTAGTCTAGGAACGCTTAATGCACTCCAAGTACTCACTAAGTCTATGCAGTAAGGTCGGTTTGGTGCTATCGGTCTCTGGCAAGCATGTGCTGTAACTGGCGTCTTTATGCGAGGGAGTGGCTGATTGACGTCAAGACTGCAAACTCTTGCAATAAAAGAAACGAGGTAGATGAACGTGAAGGACATCCTGTTACGAAGGTGAAAATGTTTCAATCTTGCGTAGTAATTACATACCCGCATTAAAAATGCAAAATCAACATCTGGGCGCAAAGTCCTAAATGAAACGTCATACAGGTGTAAGAGTGAACTATCTATTTGCTTCTCCCATCGGCTTTCAATCCACCCCAATTTTCCGATTCATCGGACCAAAATGTCCCACTTCTGGCCCATGTCAAGGCGCAAATCAAGTCTTTAAGTATGCCTTCTGACTTCGACTTGTGGCCCGCTCTAGATACGAAGACGGTAGCATGTTGAAGACCAATTTCATTTTGTAAATTCCCTCCCCATTGCCGGTCGGCCGGCAATCAAGCAGAGAAGAAGTATCAACCTCAGATAGGTCAAAATAATCCCAAACTGTCTAATTACTCTGGAAGGGACTAATGTCTGTCAGAAGTCAAAAATTTTCCGGTCTTCTTTCTTGTGACCCTCTTCTCGCCTCCGCATCGATACATCTACCGTGGGATGCTCTCGAGTCGTTTTACGGCTAGTAATCAGACCATATTAATGTCGCCGGAAAACGTAGCCAGTCAAAGGTTTGCCTAAGCATTCTTGGGGATGATGAGACCGATTGGAGGGAATCCGATAACGCGTGGTACATTGCGCTAGTTTATGTCGAAAACTTATGTTTACAGAAATTTTATTGGAAAGAGAAGGCTAGCATTACTGTGAAAATGTAATAAATTTGTCCAGTTTGTTAATACAGTCCTGAACGATGGGCACTGAGGGAAGTTTCCGAGTACCAAAGAGGAGAAGAGTGTCCAATTTTGCCCATTGTGCATCCATTAGTCTTGGTGTTAATCGTCATAATCAGTCCAGTCAGCAAACATCAGCGGTCCCGGCAAACCAATGGGTCCTATAGGCCCCATTGGACCCATAGGCCCCATTGGACCCATAGGCCCCATTGGGCCCATAAATGGTAGCGCTTTGACCTCCAGCGGGACGTCCAAAACGATTGCGAAGAGGAAAAGGAGACAGAGCTGAGCTTTCATTGCCACGCCATTGAATAAGTTCCGCCAACCAGGCTTATTTATAGCGCAAATTTGACGGTTAATCTGCTACTAACCGCGGGGGACCACTTAAAGTAATGTCATTCATCTCTAGAGGTCAGGAGTAACAGCTACCGGGTCAGACCATAATCTGACATGATCATTCTCACGTTTGACACTTATCGGCCCAGTAAGGGATTAAAGGTCGAAGGTCTGTGTTTCTGGTTTTCCGACTGGCGTGCACTGACTTTTGCCTGCTGACTGTTAAACTCGTTAGGGGATCCGATTTTGGGGAGAGGGAGAAAAAAGTGTCGAAACAAAGACGATGCAAAAAAACATCACGTCCCGGGTGCGGAACTTGGATTCGAAGCTCAGATCTATCTAGGACAACCCCAGGAATACTGCTTTCGGACTTCGCTTTCGTCAGAGAAGTCGCAGTTTTGGGTGTCTGGGTTATTTGTCGCAGTCAGCCAGCCTGAACTCGAATTATCTGATCGCAAATGACAGGACAACAGGCTCGTGGCCTAGTGGTAGAGCACTGGACTTAACTCCGCTGCGCCGACTAAAAAGTCTCCAGTTCTGAAAGCCTGGAGTAGGCTCTGGCTTGCTGATGACTGTCGATAAGCCAGAAATGGCCTTGCCAGTCTCCCTAGTCCTAGTCGATATATATTCCGAATGAGCATTGATCGCTCGCTGACTGCCGGCGCTAAGGGACGAATACGTCCCGTAACCCCACCGATGGACGCCATCCAAATGACAGTTTTTATTTCCCCTGCATCCGACAAGGTAACTGGCCATGGCTCAGTGATACAGCTTTTGACCTGAAAGCACCCAATGACCAAAGACTTTGGGTTCGAATGTCGGTTTATCCAGACTTGGGACTGGGTACGGTCAATTAAGAACAGTTAATAAGTTGTAAATGGCCTTCCCGATCTTCCTTGTCTCTGTTAGTACCCATTATCTGCGTCTATTACTGATCGCTATGCGATTGACTGCGAGGGCTCTAAAGTGAACTCCGGAACTCAACGTCCCCTTGCCTGATCAGTGAACGAACTTCTCACAACGGAGCATCCCGTTCCATACTGCAGCCATATCGGTGAATGACTGTCGTTTGCAAATTCCTGCACATAAAATGAATCGCTCAACGAGTTACGCCACCAAACACTAGTCATTAATAAGTCAGAAAGCTGATAGTGGACTTGCAAAGTATGTATTACTTTCTACTTAAATCACATGATGTACTAAGATCCACATAGCCATCTTAATTAATGCAAAATTGACTACACCTCAGTCGCGAACCCACGGGGCAGTAAGGACAAGGCTACATTCAAAGTTTTGAGACCCGTCCTCCAAGTGCGGTCCGCGCAAACAGTGTTCAATGGTTTTAGAATGGTGCATTTGGCATTGCCAGGGAAGTTTGATCCTATCGGTTTCATTGTCAGTAGGAGGCCAATAATCCGTCCGCACTGACTTGGCGAATTAATACTGACCTTTTAATAAACTGAACTCCAGTCAAATTCACATCGAGTACAATCTCACTCTTCCCAATTCCTCCTTATCCCCTGGTGGATAGGTACTCTTGATGCCTTGTGTTAATAATCGAAATAGGTGGATGGCGTCTTGACGGAAAGGCTCGCCTAACCGAACTAATCTGCGAAGAATTCGAATTTTAGAGTTGTTAAAATCCCCATAGCTATATTCAGAAGAAAAGGTGGCGAGCGAACGTTGCTTTTGATAACCTCTCGTCAAGCCAGTATAGTTATATCGGACGGGGTACAGTAAGTGAAAAATCGATAAAGTACAGGCTAGGCAAGAGCGGAAGGGAGCAGAAAGTTGGATGTTGTTAGTCAACCTTTGACCACGGTAAGCGCGGAGCCTGAACGAGGTTCTTCTGGGCGCATAGGGTCGGTTTTCGTAACCTGATGGCGGCCGCTTCTGCTGTTGCTAACAGGCGCTGGCCCAGTAGCTTAGGTCACCTCTTGCCTAGCCTGCATTTTAAAAACTAACTTTTGTCGATTTTTTCACTCGCTGTACCCCGTCCCATATAACTGTACTGGCCTGATGAGAAGTCATCGAAAGCAACGTTCGCTCGCCACCTTTTCTTCTGAATTCGAGTTTTGCCAAGCGTCGCGTAAACACGCCAGTTGTCTGGTGCCCTTTGAGCCCAGCGAGGTCAAATAAGATGGACTAGTTTGCGAAACATACGATCCTCCCATGTCGTGTGTTGCTGAACGATTCCAATGTCAGTCATTCAATCGGGATGTTTGTCCAACAAACGCCTAACTTGAAGCAAGCAAGGACAGCAGAATTTAATGGTACCACAAAATTTCGCGACGGCTTCTCAACTGCTGCCGGTCGTTGCATAACAGAAATAACAAGTGAGAAAGGTACAACGGTTTGAATTTCGACAGAGAAAATCGATGTAAAACAGCAAGGTCAACGTGTACTGCGCGTAAACTAATCGATAAAATGGTAACTTCAAAATGCAACATAGGAATGAAAATGGGGAACTAGGCATGCCGAGGGATTTCGAAACTCAAAAGGGGCTCGGGTCATCAGTATCGTAATGCTCCAATAACGCAACAAACACCAATTACTAAAGAACACATGGCTGCCCTAGCTGCATTGAAGCGGCATGAACAAATAGTAATTTCCAAGCCTGATAAAGGCCACGGGGTTGTCATTATTAACCGGAGAGCCTACTTAAACAAAATGGAATCCATTTTAGACGATCCTAGTAAGTTTCGTCTCGAAACGCAAGTGAAAGATGAAACCAAGGCAGTGGAAGAATCCGCCTGGAAAATAAGTAAACAATTGTTGGACAAAAATCTGATTGATGAAAAAACCGCTCTATCCTTGAAATCTGAGAAGCCGTTGTTAAGCCGCCCTCGGACATCCCATCCCATGAGGCGTACTGTGCTGTAGAGGAGATACTTCGAGCTGCATTTAATGAGTTGATGACTGCCAGAAATCCGACAGCTCTTACCAACCCTCCCTCCCCCTCCTGGACACTTTTCAAGACCGACGGTCTTTAGAAGTTGCAATGAGGAGGAAGATTTGTGATTGTTGCGGCCGATCCTGTCATTTGCTGTTGTTCGACGCAATTTTCTCCGTGTAGACTACTGGAAACATGACAAAGCTGCACAACCCGAAATTTTTATCCCCTGACACAGTTGAACTGGCTACCTCATGCTTGGCGTTTTCACGTTAATTCATGCTCTACTCCTCCCCCAACCAGCATTTCTGAATGTGCCTGATTTCCAGACTCTCCGCAGCCCATATTGAGAAAATAATTACTACTTAATGAAATCACGAGCTATAGCAAACTGAATTAAATTAATGTGCCGCGATGGCTTCGGTGCACATTTCACGGGCCTCAGTGCGCGCGCTCTGGTGAAGTCTACAGCTAATACTGGTAATATTACTGCTGATATTCATGGCAGTAGTAGTAGTAGTAGTAGTAGTAGTAGTAGTAGTAGTAGTAGTGGTAGTAGTAGTAGTAGTAGTAGTAGCAGTAGTAGTAGTAGTAGTAGTAGTAGTAGTAGTAGTAGTAGTAGTAGTAGTAGTAGTAGTAGTAGTAGTAGTAGTAGTAGTACTAGTAGTAGTAAGAAGAAGAGTAGTAGTGGCAGTGGTAAAAGGTCCTCAAAACTCGCCGCGCAGCTCTTGCGCTAGGTCAAAACGGGGTCCTATCATCTCATATTTCATGTTCGTCGGGCCACGTTGAACCTACGCGGTCCTTCGACTATTACCACACCAGGCAACGTGGCCAGTCGCAGCCCCAGTCGTCTGGAGGTTTTAGACGGACTAATGGTGAGGCAAGAGAGAGAGAGAGAGAGAAAGAGCGAGATAACTATGTAAGGTAGCTGAAGTCAACATATCACGTCCATACTCAGGCTAGAACATCAGTAGAACAAACACGGCCGTCCTGGTACCGTTAATCGAAATATTTACAACGAGGATAGTAGATAGAATTCAACAGAACTGCAGCTTCATTTCGTCCACCCTTTGTCGGCTCGATGCTAACAGGACTCAGCTAAAGGGCCGTTATGGTATGTTAGTCGCTCAACTTGCATTAGGCACTTCGAGTAATGACCATGCGTTGGGAAGGCGTGGAATAGCGTCTGCTGGCCCAGTTTATATCCCCATGCTTTTCCTATGTTTAGCATAGTCGTTCATACGGAGAGTTCTGATTCGAACTACTAAGCACAGGATAGTGCACTATGTGCTCAAACTCAAGAAATATCGTCTGAAGTCTGCAAATTGCAATGAAACGATCACGTCGCCCTCGCTGTCATGTTAGCTCAGTTCATGACCTGTGGCACCCTAGTTCTCGTCTGAGCATCTTTTAAGCCGCTCACAAAAGCCCCATTAACTCCCATCTGTTTCTGATACCTAAATGTAGTCGTATTAAACCGTGAGGATGAACAGACAATGTACCCACACACTCGTCAGTTCAACCGCCGCGAACGACAGTGTCCATTTTATGCATCACGAGATGGTGGGTGCAGTACGTCGAACTAGTTTACATTGATAATAGCCATACGCAACATCTGACCCACTCTCTCCCTACCCTCCACCACCTGGGTCTGGTGCCAGTACAGGACGATCGGAAGCTGGATTGGGCAGAGTGCCAGACGCGCCTGGACCAGGTTTTCACAGGAGAAGTGGTTGGCTCCGATCTCACCCCAGTGGAAGTGTCGCAGAGGCCACATTCAGCCGGACTGTCTAACCTGAGAGGACCGTGATATTTTGTTACGAATTTAGCGCGTCACAGCAGTTCCAGAGGGCATCAGATTGTTGACGGTGAGAAATGCCCTGGAGAGGCGTGGAGATGGAAAATTCAGAATCGACCTAGCTCTCCCTCCCATTTTCAAAGTAGCGGTCCTCTGTTCGAGTCGGTCAGCCGTCTGATGCGGAATGTGGGTTCAAGCGGCTGACGCGTCGTGAGTGCAAAGTACAAACCGGGACGCATATCTACTTCATCATTTTTTGAACTCCATAAAATATCTTCAAGAGAAGAGGACTTGACATATAAACCTTTAGGGCTTTTCAAAACAGAGTTATTTGTTGCACCATTTTAAAACGGGCAAACAAAATTCCTTCAGTCGTGCAATTGGAACAGGATATGATATAATGGTAGAGGAGAGCTCACCCCGAAATGTTACACACTTCGGGGTTGGGTATAACTGGCTGGCGACGGCTAATGAGCCAAAAAGGCCATTCCAGTCCCCCTTATCTTTCTTGCTAATGCTATTTAGAATGTGATATACTAAAAGACAAATGTGTGAAGTGGATTGTGTACGTCTTCCTATTAATAAATACCGTTCATTTCAACCACGAGCAACATATAGGCCGAAAAAAATATCTCCAACAAAATTAATGACTGTATCTAAACGAGATTAAACTAACAAGTTGAAATGACGCCTATCATAGAGTGACGTGTATTGGCCATTATTGGATACCATCCCCGAGTATTCACAAATACAGCGTCTTCAAAGACGCGTCGTATATTTGGAATCATCTCTGAATTTCCCAGCCAAGGTTTCACTGCTTGTAGCCAAATTCGACACTATGAGGTCGCTGAGTGCCGAATGGAGTAGCATTTCCCTTTATGAAGTTCAACTTATACTTTTTATTAGCCCCTAATCTGAGGACTTCGCGCAGAGGCGACTGTTCTGCCAGTCTGGCTGTTAAAATAAGAAACAGGCAGGTTAAAGCCGGCATAAGGAGTCTAGCACTGCACCGCTCTTATCCATTAATTTCGACAACGAACCTACCCCCGAATCATTGCCTACCTATTCATTTTGTGCTGCGCTCAATCCCGAAAATCAGAAGTTTCGGATAACGCGATATTCAGCAGTTATAGGAACGTGTTGGTCCTACCAGCGTACATTTCTATGCCATGGTCGTCATGAAGACGGTGATGACTCCGCCGGCTGGTTCGAGTAAATCTTGAGAATATTTTGTAAAATGGGTTTCGTGTGCCTAATGTCTTACCCATGACCAGGTGGTATGAATATGATGATTCTCGGTAGGAGAAGAGGTTGGCTGTAAGGTGTTAAACAACGCCTGGCAGAAAACGCTTCGTCTTTGTAATAAAAGTTTCCGTCAGCAGAGAGCTAAACAAGATGGCAGGGACGAACAAACTTTGAGAATATTTAATGAAATAGGTTTCTTTGGCCTAATGTATCAAACGAGACTAGCTGGCATGAATGCGGCGAGCCTCAGTGGGTTCATATGAGTTCACTCTGCAGGACCTCGTGATGAAGATAGTGATGTTAGTCGTTTTCCAGGCGCACGACAGTCAACACGTTCGACTCTGCCCAAAGTATAAGGTAGATGCAAAATAAACACATCTGTCGCATTCCTTTTGTCCAGTCGTCGGCGGCCAGTAATTTCGATGACAGAACTCGGATAGCTCTGCCAAGAGGCAGACCAGACTCTGTTAACAAGGTTTAATTTTTCTGTTGTCCGTTAGGTTAATCTGAGACTGACCTAAAGTAAACAATATCCGTAGCGCCTATGACCCGCAAAAGTTAACTTTCACACTTTTTGAATAAACCTCTAATCCGGACGTGGTATTTTCAGGTTTACATGAATTTCCGCTGTTTAAAAATTTGTCGCGAGACCCGACGGCCTCAGTAAATCCAGTTTCTTTCATATTTCCCCTTTCTGACATGTATCTGGTGATGGAAACTAGCATACGTCGGTCTAACACTCATCATTCCAGCTGATTAAGATGCATTACCATCCCCAAAACGAACAAGGCAACAAAGTTCATGATGTAAAAAACGGTGCGTCCTGATAACTGCTGAACATTCCACCATCTACAGATAGTAACGGATCTCATGAAATGTTGGTCGAAATTCTGAGATGCGTTTTCGATTAAGGAAAATTACAGAGGTGGGGTTGTAATATTGATTATCATGCAGTATAATCATATCATATTTCGGATTTGCCAGTATGTGGGTTCCTGAATGCACTTCTTTTCGACCGCCTGTAGAAACCACACTCGGTAAAATATGACTACATTGGTAGCATGCATTTTTCACATTGAATTTCGATGGTCTTACAAATTTAAATATATTTTATAGAAAACGCACGCAATGTATCTTTCTTTTATTCGTTTTGGTAGAAAATTACATTCTATTCGCATTATATGCCCGAAGAATATGCATATTTCAGTTTCGAAAAAGTTTTCCAATTACCGAATAATATCGAGCCTGACTAGCCGTTGCATTAGCATTTAGCGATTTCAGTCTGCAAGGTGCATGCTGTCCGCGTAAGGGAAATCATATACTCCTCTAGCCTTTAGAAAGATATCATAAAGAATTCATGAAATTTTGCAATGCATGCGGACTATGTCGTATATTTAATGGGTAGCATTGGCGAACAGGCATGTGTGGTGCTGTATGTATGGACATCGTACGGTCTTAAAAACTTCATAATTATAAACTTTTAAAAGCCAAGATAAAACTTTTCTTTGGGTACGAAATGTAAAGACAATGATGAGCAAATATAAGATCTATTTTTATACACGTTCTCTATGAAATAAATTTGAATTTATACGGCCATCGAAAATCGATGTGAAAAATGCATGCTACCAGTGTAGTCATTTTTTACCGAGTGCGGTTTCTACAAGCGGTCGAAAAGAAGTGCATTCAGGAGCCCACATCCTGGAAAGTCCGAAATATGATATGATTATACTGCATGATAATCAGTATTACAACCTCACCTCTGTAATTTTTCTTAATCGAAAACGCATCTCAGAATTTTGACCAACATTTCATGAGATCGGTTACTTGCTGTGCTAAGGTGTATTCACGCATCGAAATTTCCTTGAAAAGAGGCTGACATTCAACAGCTGATGCATTAACATGGAGCTTCTGCATAATTTACAATCGCACCAAAGTCACCCTTGCCATTCGGGCCCTATTGAAAACCGTCCATCGATGCTCATGAGGGTTTGTGCACATTGTTTCATAAGAGGACTTGCTTACAGTCTTATATCTGCGGTTTTGTGTAGTTTACTTCCGAAACGAGCCCTGTAAAGTCAAATATTTTTGCATATCTTGATAGAGTTAAAATGTATCTTAGATTCAACCCGACAGGCAGCATCTGGCCACGGGGGACAATGTAATCTGAAGACTCAGTTCCTGGTCGCGAAATTCAGAGGACAGCTAGAAGCAAGAGATGTAACTTCTAATATCAACCCGAACGACAGATTCAGAATGGTGCATTCTACATAAGGACGGAATAACAATGGAGTCCCCAGTCGCAAGCATGCGTAGTTTCCCTATAACTTCGAGTGACAGTCCGAGCTATGAACGTGGACAAACGTTTCGACAGCTTAACAGACAAATGCAAGACCTCTGGCAGTAGGATAAATGTATGCCTAAGTCGACCTAGGGTGTTAGATTTGGAATTTAGCATGAAATCGAAGCTACATAGAGCAGAAATAAGTGTCGATTCCAGGAATTAGAATTTGGATCAAAACCAGACCACCCCTTTTTATGCATCCTGATATTAGCGTCTTGGTGTCGTCTAGAGCGACCACATGAAAAATTAACGACAGCTCTCTTGTAGTGTGATCGTTACTCTCATGGTCAAACTCGAAGTAGTTTAAGTTAAATCAGTGCCCTGGTTGTTGTTTTAGATTGCCACCTGGGTCTTCACAACTCTATGGAGCACGAAATCAATCACGTCCGACAGTTATTAATGATCGATGGATACCTATGAGTAATCACTGATTGAAGTTGTATGCCCTGAAGGCACAAAAGTGAGAAGGTAGGCCAGGCGATGTCATGTCAGAAGCCGTAAGGAATATGGCGGGAAACTTCGGCTAGTTTCATGACAAACAATGAATCCCCAGCAACAGTACGGTCATCTGTCCTGGAAATCGAATCTGAACAAAAGAACTCCGTCTAGTACTTACTTTACCTGTACAGATTCTAAATACGGTTTTTTTAAGTGTTTCACAATCCTCCTCCTGCCAAGTGATCATTTTGGTTCACGAGAGAGCCTGCGTCTACGAATCATGTTGATCTTGAGTAGCCAGCAGCACACATCACTTCCAGTTAGCTTGTATTGGCCACGGTACGTGATAACACTAAAATCTATGCCACGAGATGCAAAAATATTCTCCCTGGTATTTGGCCGATCCAACACGACTGCGCGGACTTGACACTAGTAAGCAAATGATCTAGACGACGGCCTAAAAGAAAAGACGAATTTGTCTACCTCAAAGTACTGAACTACCTTTTCATTAAAGGAACTGAGGAACTGGAAATCTCTTCGACCTTTGGATGCCAGCTAAACTGCGGAAACCCGTCTAACCTCGAATCCCCAATTCGCCTAATGGGCTGCAATCCTCCGAATTTAGTACACCTGCAGCTATTTGTACATCTCGAGCAGGTGTGAGACTAGTACGACAGTATCACAGTGTGGGGAGGGATCTCTACTAATTGCAACTGACCGCTACCGCTATTCATCTAATGTATGTAATTCTCATAATTCTTGAGGCACGTTAGAGTGAGCCGAGGTTTTCAATAACCAATAATCAGTCTTGAAGCATCTAAAGCGGCAGAGGGAGCTAAACACAAGGCGCAACAGGGGCCGCTGCGACTTCCTGTCATTTGTGGTTATGACATTCAGCCGGTCCGTGGCCACCTCCCGCCACAAAACAAACTGGCTTTTGATAACCCGATTGGGAGGATATTCCCGTGGTATGCCTGATGACCTTGCTGTTTTATATTGATTTTCTCTTTGGAAGGTCAAATCTCTGTATCTTTCTCACTTGTTATCTCTGTTATGCAACGACAGGCTGCACTTGATAAGCCGTCGCGAAATTTATTACTTCCAATTAATTCTGCTGTCTATGCTTGTTTCAAATACCTATGGTGTCAAGCATGGTATGTCCTGTGATCTATGTATATACTACTGACCGCCTGTTGGAAGTCTTAAACAAAAGCCAGGGACGGAAGAAGTCAGTGAAGTCATTGTCAACATTTATTTAAACTACGATAGCATTTAGTAGATCCAACAGAGAGAGGGGAAAAAGTAAATACTATGGGCCTCAGAGGCTACATCGTAGGTCGCATTAAATTCACCACCTGCGACCACCGCCGCCACCCCAGCGACCACCACCACCACCCCAGCGACCACCGCCTCGAACACCAGTCAATGGGATCTCCTCCTCCACATGAGAATGTTCACTGTCTACTGCGTTCACCCTGGCGCCGTCCATCGCGGTACCCAAAACGATGGCGGTGAGCAGAAGGAGGTAGAGTTGCAGTTTCATCTCGATTGCGTGACTTGATTCTGCCAACACGGTCTATGTATTTATACTCCTGCTGCTGCTGCTGCTACTTTGTAGGTTAAGCCTGTGCTGACCCACGTTCGACATTTTAAGTGATGCCGATTGTCTGTGAATTAGAGAAACTAGTCGAGATTTGGAGGGGCCTCTGAACTGAACGTATTTTTTCTGTACGTGTCTTTGACGAGCGTACTGACTTCTTCTGCTGGAGGCCACTTCCTCTCATGTCGACTAGTGGTTAATCCTTTATGAAGCTCTGTCGTGGAAAAAACCCGATTCAGTTGACTGGTAAGGTGTGGAAGTAGAAGAGCTGTCTGAAGTTGTCTGTTAATCCGAAGTCAGCACATGCCGAAAGTGCCATTAATCTGGATATGAGGTTTTCGGGCGCGATTTTGAAGTGTGTAACCGGTTTTCTTTACGGAATGCCGTTTATCTCCTGCTATATGCTAATGAGTATTCTCGTCCAGGGGTCGATCATGTACAGACATTTATTTCACCCTACGAGAATAGAACAGAAGGCTGCCTGTAGTCGAGTTCTGTCTGACTGAGCAATGGCATGGCCGACCACGCTATTGCGGCCCCCAACGACATTTAAAAATGTTAAAAATTATCGATTGGCTTTGTTAGCCTTCGGCCGCTCTGACTAAACCCTACAGTGGAAGTAACTGTCGGTGAGGGTGGGACGTATAACCCCCTTTTTTTTTGAGAGAGAGAGAGAGAGAGAGAAGAATGCTTTATTTTGAAAATAACCCTGCGTGGTTGTTCAAAAATCTCACCTTTACTGGCGCTAATGACATATACAGATGCCCATATCGGGCTAAAAATTAGGGTTAGACCCACTTTTAAGACTGGGGTTAGTCTTAGAAGTCGAGCTATTCTAAGGGCTAGGGTTGTTCGGCTTGAGTTATGATTGGATTCGCAGCTGAGACTAGGATTGTGGTTGGAGTTTTAGGGTCAGTGTTAAGGGAGTTAGGGTTAGGTTTGGCGGTAGGGTTCTAAGGCTTTAGTTAGGGTTACGATTAGGTTCGCGTTTGACTTGAATGTTTACAGGTTTGGAATTAGGATTACTCACTTCATGCATGACCGCGGTTGTCACTGAGGTTGCAGTTAACCACCGTTTTACGCGTGGGGTTACATACTACATCCTTTCCGTGACCTGCCTTTGCGCAGATCCCCGGGCTGTATAGTTAGTTATGCACACTTTGGTCACCTATTTATTTAGCGTAAATCAGGAGAAGGGAATTGTTTTCCGCCAAAGTGGCAAGCCGATAAAATGACAGGGCACGGACGTGAGTTTCCCACTCGCCGTAATACAGATGGCTTTGGTCTAAATTCCACGAAATTCTAGTTGGTGCTGGGGTTAATGTTACGGTTAGGGTCAGAGTCAAGTCAATGGTGCGGAGATCAGTATCCCCTGTAATTCCTCGTAAGGCCACCTGTAGTGCGACTGGGGTAAGTATTTTCTTGTCCAACCGAGAAGACTAATCCTAGTGGCTGTTTGCCTTTTCTCTGAATACGACTAAGGGGCGACTGTTGCAGAGACGAGAAAAATGCTTAATCATGGATCAGGGGGTGAATGTGACATGAAATCGCTCGGTCTCTCTGACATTTCTTAAGGCTGTTCAAAGAGCAGCAGCAGCAGCAGGCGACGGCGAGGCAATGATGAATCTCTGTTCGATGAAATATATATATGACCCATCCGGTAGACGCCGATGGTAAACCATCTGCCCCATTTGTATGCGCGCACGTTTGTATTTCCGACCTCAGTCGGAAGGTAGACTTATGATTGGCTGGATGAATTCAAACAGTCCCGGAATAGTTCCATATCAATCTACCTCGAGACTTTGCTGTTGCCCTCCAGAAAGCAGACAGGGAATGCTGAGGGCACACGGACGAACCAAACCCCTTGCAGTTGTCTCATCCAGTGACGGAGTGTCGGCGAAACATGCATACGGGTTTTAGATAATACCTGGGACAAGTATGCAAGTATGCAATGATCTTGTTGTTTTATATCGATTTTCTCTTTGGAAGTCTAAATCTCTGTATCTTTCTTATTTGTTATCTCCGTTATGCAATGACAGGCAGCACTTGATAAGCCGTCGCGAACTTTATTGGTTCCAATGAATTCTCCTGTCCATGCTGTCCCCAGGACGATCTCACGTGCAGACCACGCATCGACCCGATCGGTCGCTTGCGAATCCGTTGCACTGATATCGATGAACCAATCCCAGTAGTCCATGCGCACATTTGACACTTCCGTATCAATATGCCTACACTGTGGTGGAATATTCGGTTTGCGCACAAACTCATTTGGCCGTATGCGCATCCACGAAAATCTTCAGTAAAACAACACAGCTCAGACACCATCACAAGACCTGATCCTATCTGCAAACACATGGACGGTTAGACTTCCGACGAACCTACTCTACAACATGCACACTTCGAAACCTTCTGTGCACAACACCCTGCATCATTCCTGCAGCAAGTGTGTGCGATACACCTTGCCAGCACCGTTAGGGAGGACGAAATGTCAGATGTCGGTCCTAGTCTCAGCTGCAAATCCAATCATAACTCAAGCCCAACAACCCCAGCCCTTAGAATAGCTCGACTCCTAAGACTAACCCCAGTCTTAAAAGTGGGCCTAGCCCTAATTTTTAGCCCGATATGGGCATCTGTATATGTCATTAGCGTCAGTAAAGGTGAGATTTTTGAACAACCACGCAAGGGGGTTACACGTCCCACCCTCACCGACAGTCACTTCCACTGTAGGGTTTAGTCAGAGCGGCCGAAGGCTAACAAAGCCAATCGATAATTTTTAACATTTAGAAATGTCGTTGGGGGCCGCAATAGCGCAGTCGGCCACGACATAGCTCAGTCAGACAGAGCTCGACTACAGACAGCCTTCTGTTCTATTCTCGTAGGGTGAAATAAATGTCTGTACATGACCGACCTATGGACGAAAATACTCATTAGCAAATCACAGGGGATAAAGGGCATTCCGTAAAGAAAACCGGTTACACACTTCAAAATCGCGCCCGAAAACAGCATATCCAGATTAATGGCACTTTCAGCATGTGCTGACTTCGGAGTAACAGACGACTTCCGACAGTCCTTCTACTTCCACACCTTACCAGTCAACTGAATCGGGTTTTTTCCACGACAGAGCTTCATAAAGGATTAATCACTAGCCGATAGAAGGATAAGAGAGGAAGTGGCCTCTAGCAGAAGAAGTCAGTACGCTCGTCAAAGACACGTACAGAAAAAAATACGTTCAGTTCAGAGGCTCCTCCAAATCTCGTGTAGTTTCTCTAATTTACAGACAAT